AAAGGTGAGAGAGGGTAAATAAAGACTTCTCGACTTCTCGTGCAAAGCTGGAATTCCTGCGGCGGAGACGAGGACGTTGACCAGGCTTGAGGTTGCGTTTACACTTCGCGTCGGCGTTTTGCGCACTTTGGGAGCGTCGATTTGTCAAACTTTTGGGACAATCGGCGCTATGAGCGTTTGTGAAAGGGCAAGAAGGAAAGCATAGGTATCGATCAAGCGTCCTCAAGTAAACAATAAGTATCGATCGGCATTCTGGGAGAAACACCTGCCTTTTGGGCGCTTTGAGCGAAAAGGAAGGTCTAGGTTTCGGGTCTAGCATTTCCAGCGAACCAGCGTTTTGAGCGAAAAAGGAGCATTGTTATCGAACAGCGCCCAAAAGCCCAAAAACGCCCAAAATGCCAGGTCGATGCCTATACTTTCACCATCGCTCAACTGATTTTTCTCCAGTGACATTCATTTGTCTTGCGAAACTTCTTCTTAAAGTATTCGGTCGCTTTTGTAATTGCTCCCTTTACAGGCAGATCAACGTAAGCGCCAGACACAGCAAAACTCTTCAAAACAAAAGAAAGCAAAACACGCGGAACAATTTGCTCTCTTGCAGCAGGTACCTTCCATATCCCAGGGGTATGAAGGGCGTGGCTGCGTCTTACATTCGAGCATAACAGAGAATGCGCTTCTCGTTGGGAGTATCCCCATTTGAGACTACTGTCATCCTCTCTTGGGACAGAGACATGATTACAACTGTCTCAAAACGATAGTATCTCTCCAAAAGTGGCAGACGATACGTTTGAATGAAACGCGCAGCCACGCCCTCCCTATGGTTATGAAGTCTATGCACTCGGACGAACAGCGAGTATGTTCCTTTTCCTTTTTACCGCAATTCGGGATGATTTTCAAGTAGTTTTTCAAAAGCATAAGCCACACCTTCCTGATGTTGTTATTTTTTTCAGTGTGAAGAGATCCTCGTTGAAGTCGAACATGACTGTAAAGTCATGGAAGAGAAGGTATGCTTTTTTTCAGTCATGTGCCTTCTCTTCACCCTGACCGATTCCTCACGCCTATGTCATCTCAACTTCAAGGCTTCAGTTCATCTCATTGTTCCACTGTTGAATGATTCCTAGAAAGCCACCTTTCGAGCATACTCTTTCGTTCCTTTGTTCTCATATGTCCATATTTTTCAAAATGCATTTTTCCATTTTCATTGTATCAAAAAAATCGATTTGGCTGTCATTCCAATGAGGTCGGGCCTTGTGGCCTTATGGGGCACCTAGGGCGTTTGAAATTGACTTTCTCACACTGGAGTTGTTCCAACTAACGAGGAGCTTTTTCTCATTCCCACCTCTCTGGGCTCAAACAGAAATACTCATCCAATCTGGCTCACAATAGTTTCTACACTCATTCCGCCACCAATGTCTCACCTCTCTAGTATTTAGTCTGGATTTATTCCGAAAGGAAAGAAGTTTTCTAGCGCGTTCATACTTCGAAACCTGATCGACTAGGTCGCAAAACGCGCTTTTCATTATTTTTTTAATAAATATTCAGCTTGTGGCACTGTACCTTTGTAGGCAGCTGCAAGCCGTCATACAACTACCGCTACGCTGAATGAGATGGGTGACCTTGGCTGTAAGTACGCAGAACAGGATAACCAGTTGGTTTC